GGGCACGGTGCCAATGCTATGCGTGCGCGCCCGAAACAAATTGTCGGGGCGGAGGGGGCGCGCTGGCTGGGGTGCGAGGGGGGAGCTGGGGCGGCCAGGGTGTGAGCGGGGCGCGGTGCCGGTGCCGTGCGCGCGTGCCTGAAAAAATGGGGGCGGAGGGGCGCGCTGGCTGGGGGGCGGGGGAAAACTGGCCCGCCTGGCTGGGTGTGGAGGAGGGGCGCGGTGCCGGTGCCGGGCGTGCGTGCTGGAATAAATTCGTCGGAGCGGAGGGGGCGCGCTGGCTGGGGGGCGAAAGGTAGCTAGGCTGGCTGGGGAGGGAGGCGGGGCGCGGTGCCACTAGTGTGCGTGTGTGTGTGTGTGTGTGTGTGTGTGTGTGTGTGCCGAAATAAATTGGTCGGGGCGGAAGGGGTGCGCTGGCTGGGTGCGAGGGGGAGCTTGGCTCGGTGGTTGGAAAGGGGGCACGGTGCCAGTGCCGTGCGTGCGTGCCAACATGAAATGGTCGGGGCGCATGAAATGGTCGAGGCGGAGGGGGCGCGCTGGCTGGCGGGGGGGAGGGCTGGGCTGGCTGGGGGGGGGGGGGTGCGCGGTGCTGTTGCCGTGCGTGCGTGCCGAAATTCGTTGGTCGGGGCGCAGGGGGCGCGCTGGCTGGGGGGCGAGGGGGAGCTGGGCTGGCTGGGGGGCGAGAGGGGGCGCGGTGCCAGTGCCGTGCGTGCGTGCCGACGTAAACTGGTCAGAGCTGGTGACATTTGTGCAAGATAATGTGAGTCATTTTCTTAAGGGACCTATGAAGGGGAACTTGGGCAGAATGTTTACTGCAACATCGTTGATGCGTCTTGGGTTTGCACTGGTCCTCCTCCTTCTCCTCCTCCTACTCCTCCTCCTCCTCCTCCCTCCCTCCTTCCTGGACTCTGTCTTATACCCAATTCAATTTCCAACTTCTTCATGTCTTTTTCTTATAGAGAACTCCTCCCTGTCGCGCCCCAGGCAGCTCGAAAGGGCTGGCCTGGCGTTTCCCCTGAGGCTTCGTCACCAGTTACGATCCTGAAACTCAGAGCTTGCAGCTTGCAGCCGCTTCGCGGATGGAAAGGGGGGGCGGTTTTCAAAATGCGACTCTCCCCTGAGCGCCGCGCGCACTCGTCTTAAACATTTGCTGAGCTTCACGGATGGAGGGCGGGTAGTTTCCAACGTGTGGCTCTCGCATTAGCGCTCGTCTTAATACATTGCACAAGCTTCACGGATGGAGGACGGACCGCTTTCAACATGTGGCTTTCGCCTTAGCGCGCACATTCGTCTTACAACATGCAAGAGCTTAATGGATGGAAGGCGGTTCCTTTTCAAACTGCGGCTCTCGCCTCAGCGCCGTGCGCATTCGTTTTAACAGTTCGCAGCAGTTTCAAGGATTCTCCTGGTTAGCGTCACACAAATGGTGTGCTGGCACGATCTTGGACTGTCAAGGCGCAACATTTTCTGTTGCATGGTGCTGCACGATTCAGGACCGTCAAAACGCAACCGTAACGGTGATTCGCGGCGTTGAAGTCCCAAGAATAATGTTCTGGCACAAAGATTTTAGAACACATGTCTTCCAGCGGGGCACTTCCCTCAGT